TTGGTATATTCTTTAGGCAGGAATTCTTTTAGGCTAGAGGGAAAAAAAAAAAAAAAAAAGGAAAAATTCCATAATTAATGGTTCCTTCTCGAGGAGGGATGCTTTCCATGCTTCTTTACTGGCAATAAGTCCCCCCAGCTTCCTAAAATGGGTGCAAAATACCTGTACAAGGAAACAAAACTGTCTAAAGCAGAGTGAGAGCAAGAGGTTACCTCATATAATGAAAAAAACCGTTTTAGTGACATCACCATGTAATACCCTTTCAGGTTGCTTTTCTATTTTGAGGGGGTGAACACTGGATTATTTGTTTGGGTTAGTGTGCTTTTTCTGTTTGTGTTTTTAAACACAAAACCCTGCCATCGCAGAGAATAAAAAAAAAGACTAAATCAGGATTTTGTGCTTTCTTCAGAAATTCTGGTCAGCACTGGGATCACTCCTGTTCTTCCCATAAAGCTCCAGCATTATAAAGCAAATAAGAACAATTGGCCTTGCTACTCTTCCTTCTGCTGCTCTAACAGTGATATCTCACTAATGACAATGAACTCTCTTCTCAGGACTGATTTCCACAGCCACATCCCAGGGCTGGGCAGGCTGAAGAGCTCTGGGTTTGATTTGCCAACGTGCCTGCAGACAAAAAGCCAAGGTGTGCAGATCCAGGTGCTCCTTCCCATCTGCAAAGGAACAGGATGGGCACTTCATGAGATATTCCCAGCAAATGTGATCCCTGTACCTCTGCAGGTGCCATGCACAACTTCATCTGCACCAGGAAGGGCACGAGGAAGGACTGACTGCAACCTGATAGTTTAAAAGCTTTCACAATTTACTTTGGCAGGAGCTTCAAGGAAACTGCAGCCACCAACACCGCAGTCTTAGCAAGGTGCAGGCAAATGAGCTCCATCTGTGCCAGGAATAATTTACCAGTGCCAAAAACGGACACAAAAGGTCTCTCTGCATAAACATATTGCAGACATGGCACACTAAGCTAAGCTGTCTCTAAACAATTTTAAGAAATATTAGTGCCATTGTGCTGTGTGATGTTTCCAGCAGGAGCTGACAGGTTCTCCTCGAGGGCATCTGCAGCATCTTGAGGCTTCAGCAGTGATTACTGATACCTCTCCAATGCATTTCACATACTGAGCTGCAGCATTTTATAAACAGTAGCTGCTTCCATACTTGGAAAGAATCAATGTTTATGCACCAAAGAGTAGAACACAGTTGGGTGAAACTTTAAAAAAGCTCATTCTTTTTCAAAAGGAAAAAAAAAACCAAAACAAATTGAAAAGGTTTTTTCTGAAAGTATGAGAGATGTATTTTCAGGAAAAAAAGAATAGATCAGCATTTCTCTATACTATTTATATATATTGTTCATAATGAGCCAGGATCAACTGGCTTGCTTTGAGTCACAAAAT